TGAGCTTGGCAAATCGGAGAGGCTCAAAGGGTGACCTTTATTTACCCTGAAAACACTTTTTCAAATTAGGGCCCAAATTGTATGTTTCCTCTTTGGGCCTCTCCGTACTGTTTAGTTGGAGTCCTGGTGCTAATACGCTGGACTGCAAAATCATTTGCACTGCAAGTTTGGTGGTTCAAGCTCACCAGCTGCTCCTCGGAAACCCTATACAGGATCATCATGGGTGGGAACCAACTTGAAGGCACTTAACAACAACCACATAATGGTTAGTGGGTCCTGGAAACAGATTATATATCAAATCCTGAGCCCCCTACTCCAAGCTCAAGATCCCTTCTTGGAGCCTCCTGGGGTTTTAGGAGGGTCCACAAAAGGAAAGTCTCTACCCAAGGTCACCACAGGCCTCCTCAGGGTGGTCACCTGATCCTCTGAAATGCTGATCTTCCACTTGGCAATTGTGCTCACCTGACTGGCTTCCTGCCCAGACCTGCATGGTTCCTCCAAAGGCGCACTCACTCCTTTTACAAAGTAAAGTATAACCAGGGAATTCTATATCCCTGAGACATTTAAATCCGGAGCTTTGCTTCCACAAGGTGTACCTGTGATTTGAGAAGCAGTGGGGGAAGGTGGGATGGGCTGATTAGCCAATAACTAATAACTAAGGGTGATTGAGTGCTGACAGCTAGGTTTGTGCTAATCTCTTGGAGCATTTCACTTACCCCTCCCCCGCCCCCAGCAAATGTTTAAGTACTTGGTAATGTCTCCATTTGACAGATGGGGAAACATTTGTCCATTCATTTACTCATCAAATATGTATTGAGAGCCTTCTATGTTCCAGATAGTTTTTTAAGACTCTGCAGCTACAGCAGTGAACACCACAAACACCACAGGCTGATTGTCTGCTAGTTTGAAACTGAATGGTTCAGAGCTAGGAGAGAGATGATGAAGACATGGCCAAGATTTCGGGAGGGAAGTGCCATGGAAAATACACTAGAGCAGGGAGGGGTGGCTGAAGAAAGCCAGGGAACCAGCCATGTGAAAGAAAGTTGAAGTCAGGGAACACTAAAGACCCGGAAGACAGGCAGCACATGTTTGGAGTGTCAGAGACACAGCATGCTGCAAGACAAGAGTGAGGGTGAGGTCTGGTGTAGGTGTGTGCAGGGAGACAGGTGAGCACATCAGGATGGAACCTGTACACTTTAACAACAATAATAATAAAAGCTGTTGTTCCAAATGTGTTGTTGTTGTTGTCAGGTGCCATTGAGTCAGTACCGACTCATAGCAACCCTATGCACAACAGAACAAAACACTGCCCAATTCTGGGCCAACCTCACAATGGTTGCTACGCTTGAGCCCATTGATGCTGCTATATTGACAATCCATCTCGTTGGAGGTCTTCCTCTTTTTTTCTGACCCTACACCTTACCAAACATGATATCCTTCTGCAGTGACTGGTCCTTCCTGACAATATGTCCGAAGTATGAGAGATGAAGTTTGGCCATCCTGGCCTCCAAGGAGCACTCTGGCTGCACTTCTTCCAACATGGATCTATTGGTTCTTTTGGCAGCCCATGGCACTTTCAATATTCTCCGCCAACACCATAACTCAAAAGCATCAACTCTTCTACGGTCTTCCTTATTCACTGTCCAACTTTCCATGCATACGAGGTTACTGAAAATACCATGGCTTTGGTCAGGAGCACCTTAGTCCTCAAGCTGACATCTTTGCTCTTCAACACTTTAAAAAGGGCTTACGCAGCAGATTTGCCTAATGCAATACGTTGTTTGATTTCTTTACTGCTGTTTCCCTGAGTGTTAATAGTTGATCCAAAAAGAATGAAGTCCTTGACAACTTCAATCTTTTCTCCGTTGAAAATAATGCTGTTTATTGGTCCAGTGGTGAGGATTTTTGTTTTCTTTACATTGAGATGTAATCCATACCGAAGGCTGTGTTCTTTGATCTTCATCAGTAAATGTTTTAAGTCCTCTTCACTTTCAGCGAGCTAGGTTGTATCGTCTGTATATCGCAGGTTGTTAATGAGTCTTGCTCCAATCCTGATGCCATGCACGTTTTTCCTCATATAACCCAGCTTCTCTGATTATTTGCTCAGCATACGGGTTGAATAAGTATGGTGAAAGAACACAACCTTGTTGCACACCTTCTTTAATTTTAAACCATTCAGTGTTGAGAATAAACACAGCAACAAAACCCCCACACTCAGCAGTTTCTTCATGTACAGTGAAACTGATCACATTCTTTGAGTTGGGCAACCCTTTTGCCCTCCTTTTCTGAGCTCTCCCTCCCAACAGCCATGTAATCTTTTGTAAGGAATCTAGACTTTATGCTGTGGTGGGGAACCCCAGTAGGGCACTTCATCTGACTTCTATTTTTTTAAAAAAGCTTATTCTGCCACTGTTGTAAAAAGCTAAGACAAGGTTTTCTTGATAAAATAAATATTTATTCTATGGTGGTTATCAGGGGTGGGAGGGAAAGGAAAATTATTCACAGGCTAAAGGGTTGTTGTTGTTTAGTGCCATCAAGTTGATTCCAACCCATAGCGACCCTGTGTAGAGTTTCCAAGGAGCAGCTGGTGAGCTTGAACTGGTGAGCTTGAACCACCAACATCAACATCACAGTTCAAACAACTTTGCAGCCTGATGCATTTGCCCACAGCACCACATCAGACACAAGTTACTTTGGGAGACAAGAGGGAGGTGGTAGAGGAAAGGTGAAGGTAGCAGGAGGCAGGGGGGAGTGCAAGAATGTAAGTGACCAGAGATGAATACTGTTGTTAACTGAGGTACATGGAGGGGATTGCAATGGTGCAAAGTATCTGATGTGTTGAATAGAAAACTGACCATCTGATCTGTAAACCTTCACTCAAGTCACAATAAAAAGTTAAAAGATTAAAGAAATGAACAAAAGGTCACGCTGGTTGCTATGTGAACAAGAACTAGGGCAGCAGCAAACCCAAACCAGACCTGTGGCTTCTAACTCAGTGACCCACAGGACAGAGTAGAACTGCTTCTAGGGTTTCTGAAAGCAGACTGCAACATCTTCCTCCCATGGAAATGTCCGTGACCTTTCCATTAGCAGCCCAGCACTTAATCCATCGTGCCCCTGGCATCTGTCTTAGATAAAGGGGTGACTGCAGCTATTTCAGATGTTAGGAAATTGTCTCAGATCACTGGTCTCTAAAGAGGGTGGAGCCAGAATTAACTCCTGCCAGATGATCTGTCCCAGGGCCTCATGCCAGGCTCTTTCTACAGCCAAAATAGGAGGGTAATTCAAAAAGTCTTGCTACTAGGCTCCAGTTTAGATATGCTTGGGTCAATTCCAAACAAAACCTGTTTAAACAAGTCTCTGTCATCAGTGGATGGCTGCAGACAAGCTCTCTCAGTTACTTGTTTGTTAGGGTGTCTTTAAAAAATGTCCAATGAAAACAGATCCTTCTAAAAGGACCAGCTGGGTCACTTCAATTTAAGGCGGAGAGGTCAGCTCAAACGGTTATGGTGACTGGTTTTGGGGACTACATTTTGATAGAGTTTCTTGAAGGACACAGGACCATCATGGGCATTTATTAGGATGAAATTTTAAGAAGTTAGAAAACTTAATTGGTGAGAAAAAGGTCAGGAAAGCTGCACCAAGGAATGTTTTCCCATCAAGAATGCACCTAGTCATTCTTCAAGGGTAGCAAGGCTGTCCTAGGAGAATTTCACCAGGAAACCTCTTCTGATCCTTCCTACACCCTTCCTGTTTTATTCCCCCAATTCAAAGAACATTCCAAAGGAACAAAATTTTGAGTCCCTCAGGTTACTCAAACTGCTGTTTTGATACCGTGTAAATTGAAGAACACAGAACTCTTTGGTGAAGACTTACAGTTGTTAAATGCCAACAAGTCGGTTTGAACTCTTAGAGACCCTGTCTGTATAGGATCTAAGGAGCAGCTGGTAGGTAGGTTCGTACCACCAGTCAGCAGTTCAGTGCTTATCCTATAGCACCATACCAACTTAGAAAGATGGAAACACTGCCTTCAGAATTGTATAGACTTAGATGGAGGATGTGTTGCAAAACAAAGTTTTCACATTTTAATTTCTTGTTTAATAAAGAATTTTATGTTGTGACCAGAAGAACTAGATGATGCCCAGCTACCACTACCAACTGTTCTAAAAAGGATTACATTAGAAATGAGCAATGTAGAACAAAACCATAAAAAGATCAGACGTACTGGTAGGAGAGAAACCAGTGCAAACCATGATGGACCTTAGTCACCCTTCAAGTCCAGAAACTCACCCTCATGACTCAACTTGAGTCAATCAACAGGCAGCTCTGCAGGGTGGTATGCACTTTCAAATCATCTAACATTTGAGTTCAAAAGAGCAGCCTTTACCAAAGGACAAAATCCATAAGGCAGGAAGGGAATGATAGGAAAGGTGGAGTACTGAAAGTGCCATAGGCTGCCAGAAGTGGAAGAAGTGCAGCCAGAGGGCTCCTTGGAGGCCAGGATGGCCAAACTTTGTCTCTCATACTTCGGACATGTTGTCAGGAGGGACCAGTCGCTGGAGAAGGATAACATGTTTGGTAAGGTGGAGGGTCTGAGATAAAGAGGAAGAACCCCAGAGAGATGGATTGTCAATATGGCAGCATCAGTGGGCTGAAGCGTGGAAACAATTGTGAGGTTAGCCCAGGACCAGGCAGTGGTGAGTTCTGTTGTGGTATGAGTTTGTACCGACTGGAGCTGTGGGTTAATGCGCCAGACTGCAAGGCGCATTGAACTGCAAGGTCTGCGGCTCAAGCTCACCAGCCGCTCCTCGAAAACCCTGTACAAGGTCTCTGTGGGTCCGAACTGACTCAAAAGCACTTAACAACACCACCACCAACAACCGCTAATGTGGTTCCGTCCCTTCACAGAGCCGTCCCATTTTTATTTAAATAACCACGCGTTGAAGATCTCGCGATAGCCTGCCCGCTTCCCATAACCCCGTGTGTTCGCTCCTTCCTTCCTCTTTCCGCCATTTTTCTCTGCCGGTGAGTAGCTACCTCTGAGCGTTCCAACACCATCCGCTGGCAATCGGCGCCATCCTGCTGTCTGAGGCTCCGTTTCGTTGCTCTGCGACAACTCTGGGACCTCCCTGGGTCGGGGATCCTGACCTCGAGCGGCCCTGTGTAGCCCAAGGGAGGCCCTGGCGCGCCATGTCCGGCCCCCTATGCAGCCGGGACGGCGGTGCTCAGGCCGCAGCGCTAGCGGGAACCGAAGTTTCCCACCTCCCGGAGCGGCGTGTGCAGACCTTGAGCTCCACTATGCGGCTGATGTTATCCTCGCCTCCGGGTGTTGGGACGCATTGGGGACGGTGGTCGCGGTGTGGGAACGGTGGTCCGCACTCTGGGAACGCGGCCTTCTACCTGTGTCCTGAGTTGGTGGGAACTAGCGCGAATCCTGTGGCAGCTTCTGAGCTTCAGGAAGCCGCAGGGTCCCCCGTGTCGGGGCGGGAAGCACGGTTTGGCCCCATGCTTAAGAGCTCTGTGGTTTTCATTGGGACGTGAAATATTTTAATGTTTGTCAGTGGGTGGTACGCTTTCTGGTAGACGTTTTAGATGGTTGTGTGCCAGTGTTAAAAGGTAGAATTTTGGGGAAACGCATCTGGGACAAGGCTGAAAGTGAGTCCGTTTTAGACTTATATATGGAGCCCTAGTGGCGCTGTAGGTAAGCCCTGGACTACGGACCACCAGCCTCCCTGCAGGCGAAAGATGAGGCTTTCTGCTCTGGTAAAGATTTGCCGCCTCGGAAACCCTGTAAGTCGGAACCGACTCTACGGCACTAACAATAACAGTACAGATGCTACAGGATTTCAGAAGTTTGGGAAATACTGCCCGTGTTACCAGTGCCCATTTTGAATAATTGACCAGCCATTCCTTGTATATGGTTTTGGTAGGTGTCAATTTCTGCTAATTCTAAGTTTCTTGGGGGATTTTGTTTTAATTTTTTTCCCCCCAGTGTACTGCAGGATTTGTAGAATAGTGGGTAGTAAATGAATGTGGGCCAAAGTGTTTATCGACTGACATTCTAGTCTCTGCTGCTTAAGCAGGAAGTCTTAGGTGCAGGAATACTGGAAAACACACTTGTTTGAGTTAGACAAGGATGCTTTTGAAGGGGAATGATTTGGTGTCTGCAGATGTTGACAATGTGAGTATAAGGATTTGTCTCTTTCTCACCAGCCATCATGGTGCGCATGAATGTCTTGGCCGACGCTCTTAAGAGCATCAATAATGCTGAGAAGAGGGGTAAACGCCAGGTTCTTATCCGGCCGTGCTCCAAAGTCATCGTTCGGTTCCTGACAGTGATGATGAAGCATGGTAAGGACTGTGCCTTGTTTGGGTGTGAAGTCAGTTACAGGGGTCGGGGGAGGGGGGAGCAATCGTGGCAAAGAATCACTGGTGAAATAGGACTGGAAAAGGATGCTTAAATGTTGAGCTGGTGTTTTGAGAGTTCATAGTTGAGTTCTTTTGCAACGTGTCATTGGAGGAGCTCAGAGTGCTTTGGGGTGGAGGAGAACATGGTGCCCAGACAAGCCTCTGGGAGTGGGAACTTTGGTCAGGTGAAGGATTGACACCAAAAAGCTTTTTTATTACTAGGTTGTGTGCCTTCCTCAATCCCTAAACTTCAGTCATGAGATGATTTGAGGTTAAAGGATTCGGTATTTAGGAGGCAAACAGTAGGACGGTTGTTAGAGGAACATAATAGATGTAGGTGTGTCAGAGTAAGTAATATTTAATGGTTATTTATGATCTGCAGGTTACATTGGTGAATTTGAAATCATTGATGATCACAGAGCTGGGAAAATCGTTGTGAACCTCACTGGCAGGTTAAACAAGGTAAGAATCTTAAGGTTGTCTAATTGCCTTAGTGAGTACTCAAAGGTGGTGCTGTGCTTATCTTCTTTACTATCAGCTGGCCCAGGGTTGGGTGAAGCTGACCCTGGTGGTGCTGGATCCTGCGTTTTACACACACACAAACACACACTGACTTGCACCTGGACAGCCCAAGGCCACTAAGCCCCTCACTTATAACCAACTCTCTCCTTCCGCTCTGTGAAAAGATTCTCTCTGTGTTTGCAGTGATGGGCGCACTACGTGTCTGAGGTCTATGCTGCCTTTCCGTTTGACTGGTAACCTGTATGGCATTGGTTCCCGTAGCACAGGGCTCTGCGGGAGAAAGGGTGTTCCGTGAACATTTACAGTCTCAGAAACACTATGTAGGGTGCTGTGAGTCTGGATGTGATGATGGGTTTGTGTGGGTGCCTGGTGGTGCAGAGTAAGTACGCAGATGTCTTAAGCTAGTTAAGATTCCAGAACTGCTCAGTGTGATTTTTGTGTTCAGGTTTGTTGCATTCAGATTTCTAGTTCACTCAGGAGGGTACTTCTTAACACGGAGTGGTTACTCAAGGTAAGCAGTTCAAAACGACCAGCCGTTCCGCAGGAGAAAGATGGAGATCTGCACTCAAAGATTACAGTCTCAGAAACCCCATGCAGGGTCGCTATGAGTCCACCATCACTGAACGTGAAGACTTTAGAAGATTATTAGCTGTTTGTAGCACAAAAGGGGATTTGAATTCACTTTGTCACACTGATCCTCATAGGTGTTCTTGCAGTGGAAAGGAGTTTGTCACTAGTTTTCTCTTAGCAGTTTAAGGTGTCCACTAAAGTCTCCCAACTAGTAACTGGCTGGAGAGCTGTTTCCAGCATATAGATTTTAAAAAGCTGAATTCTGTTGCCAAACAATAGGTTGTCACTCGTGGTGACATTAGTTATATTGCTGGCATACCCCTTTTTAGGGTTATCTTGGCTGTAATCGCTCAGGAAGCAGAGTCTTTGTTTTGTTGTGCCTTGTGGTGGGTTTGAACCACCAACCCTTTTAGGTTTGATGTTGAATGCAAACCATTTGTACTGCACAAAAATTAAATTCAACTCATAGCGACGAGAACTACAGCCCCATAGGGTTTTTTTTTTTTTTTTTTAATTGTGAATTATGGGAGAACATTAGAACATTAGCTTTATATTCATCCTATCCTGTATCATTTTATTGCCATGGTTACAGTCCCCTCCATGTATCATCAACTAACCAAAGGGTATACCCTGCAACCCTGCTCCCCACCTCCCACCCCCTACCCCCTGTCAGCACACAGCTCCTCTCCATCTCTGGGTCTAGAGTTCCCAGCTGCTCCATCTCTCCATGTTATCGTCTCTGCCTCCATCTCTGGCGTCACGGCTTCTCTGGGTAGGGTCCCACACTCTGCTCTTCTCCTTTGATGGGCCCAGGGACTTCTGCTCCTAGACTACAGTCAATCACTCCCCTTCTTTTGCTACAAAATGTCTACCTTTACATTTCCAACCCTCACAATCAGTCCTGATAAACAGTTATTCACTGTTGTACCACAAGAGACCTGTCCCCATCTCCTTTCTTCAGTCCTGCCTAGACAGATTGGATACTACTCAGTGGAGATTCTACCTTCCCCCACACCCTCTGAAACTAAGTTCCCTCTTGAAAGCTTGTAAGCCAGTCACTTCTTGCCTTTGTAGTCCCCCTCCCCCCATTTGGGTAGCCAATGTCCAAGTTGCCCATTCCTGTCTACTCTGTATGGAGGAAGTGACCCATAGGGTTTTATAGAATTTGACTACTGCATCTTCCATGAAGCAGCTGGTGGGTGTGGCCTGTCAACATTTTGGTTCGTAACTGAGTGCTTAACAACTGTGCCAACACTGGGACCTTGTGTATTATGTGCCATCAATTGTGTATTGGGTTTCTAAGGCTGTAAATCTCTGGCAGCAGAAAGCCTAATTTTTCTCTTTGAGAGCACTACTGGTGGATTCAAATCGCAGACCCGATGTTTTTGACAGTGTAATCCATTACACCACCAGCACTCCCATATATATTTCGTTGCTAAGTGCCGTCTAGTTGGTTCTAACACATAGCGACCCTGTATAGGGTTTCCAAGGAGCAACTGGTGAGCTTGAACTGCCAACCTTGTGGTTCAAACTGAATTTGCAGTCCAGCACATGAACCTACAGTACCACACCAGGACTCCTGGTGTGACACTTATACTGTCCTGCAACACTGGACTGCTAACCACAAAGTTCAGACCCACCAGCCACTCCTTAGAAACTACAGGGTCACTGTAGTGAGGTGGAACTGATGTGACAGCATTTAGCAACGTACTGGCTGTTGATTGAGCTAATGAAAAGTAGAATTTCAAATTCCTCTTGGATGTTATATATGCAAAATGAGATGAAAAGTAAATTTAAACCTTTGTTCTGTGGTATACTAGTTTGAAAAAATTCTGGTTGAGAGGCAAATGGAATTTCTTCAAACTCCCTTTTTCATAGAATAATGGTGTCTTAGATTCCCTCATGTAAGAAATGAGACTGGTGTGCTGTGGAACGCAACAGCAGATAGTGTTGGAAGACTAGATTATCGAAGAAACATCTGCTCATGGGACTATCTGTACTTCGTGCCCTTGGAGTGGGTTCCAGCTCAGCGACCCTGCCCAGTCCAGCGCTATCCTCATAATTACTGTTGTGTTAGAGCCCATTGTTGCTGTTACGGTGTCAGCAGTCCATCTCTACTGGTTTTCCAAGTGTGTTGTCCAGGGACTGGTCCCTCCTGATGACATGTCCAAAACAGAGATGAAGTCTTGCTATCCTCACTTCTTTCTAAGCAGTATTTTGACTATACTGTGTCTAAGGAGCATTCTGGCTGTACTTCTTCCCAGACAGATTTGTTTGTTCTTCTGGCAGTCCATGGTACTTTCAATATATTCTTCTACAACACCATAACTCAAATGCATTGGTTTCTATAGTTTTCTTTATTCATTTTCCAACTGTCACATGCAAAGCAGTGGAATAAGGGTAGAAAATGCAGACTGAACAAGTTTCCAGGTCTGGGGTGATCGGGTCATTCTGATAGGCCTGTTTTTTACTTGTGTGGTTTGGCATCTTTGCCTAGGAAAGCATCATATTTGCCAAGTTGATTTGCAGGTGGTCCGGAGGCTGAATTGTGACCAATCTCAAAGTCTTGTCAGAGAGCTATATGGAAGGATGGGCAGGTTCACCTGTCTGCCTGATGGGAATGATTGCCTATGAAATGTGATTTGGGGTTTGCCATATCATTGATTAAACAGGAGAATGATATGGCAATCTGCTTCCATAAATAGTTGACAGCTTTGCACACGCAGTGGTAGCAGGGCAATTCTGCCCTGTCCAGTGGGGCACATTGATTCAGAATTGGACAGTTGGGGGAATTGGTTTTTATGGTTTTGAAAGATTGAAGTGCATAATGCTTAGTCTCTGGAGGCATTGCTATGCTAGAATTGCTAGAATCTCCTATAGCCCACTGGGAGGTGCTGATGGCCTGACATGTAGACTGTCCATTGCTGAATTATCCTGTGTTGGGGTGTTTCAGTTAAGTTCATTTTGCATCTTGTACTATTTTGTGACTTTGTGCAGCCATGCTTCAGTATCTTTTCCAAATTGTGCCACTTCTCCCCCATCCAGTAATCATCTTTGCTTTCTATGTTTGCTGTTTCCATGTAAATAAGGCTGCACAAGTTTTGTCCTTTTGTGATTCTCATTTTCAAGATTCATCCATGGTGTGGCCTGTGTGGCTTATATTTTGCTTCTCCACAGTTACTGTATGGCATCTCTGCATGGACATTCCGTAGGTTCCGCATTTTGGCACCTGTGGAGTGCTGCAGTGAGCACTGGTAGGCAGGTTCCTGGTTGCCTGCCTGTCTTCCACTAAGGGAAGACCTGTCAAGCTCCCCACCGTGACTGCACCTGTCCTAGGTGGTGAGCTGTAAGATAAGCACTGGACTGCTAAATCGACTCTGGAGCACCAAACAGCACACTCACACAGCAGTGGATGGAGGGATTCAGCTTGGCCACAACCTCACCAACACTTGTTCTTCTGTTTTCTATTTTGAAAGATGTTAATACTTTGTTAATTTTCTCCTTAGGCAGATGGCTAACCTGGTAGGCAGAGGCAAGACAGTCTTGACTGTTGTTCACATGGCATCTATGAGACATTGTTTGTACATTCAGTGCTGGGTGACAGTACGTGTGGCTGCTGTTGGGCTAATCTGGGTTTCTGTTGAAGTGGGACTAGTGCTTTCTGTTACCTTTTACAGTGTGGCGTGATCAGCCCTCGGTTTGATGTGCAGCTGAAAGACCTAGAAAAATGGCAGAATAATCTGCTCCCGTCCCGTCAGTTTGGGTAAGAATTGGTTTTCCTTGGCTAAGGGTGGCTGTGATGTAGTGTGGTGGTGGTTACTGCACTACTTAGGAATGGGCTCTATTTACAACCATGTCCTGGGTTGGCTTCGGGGTCTGAGCTCTGCTGGGGAAACAGACTGGCTGAAAGGACAGTAGCTTGGGCTTCCGTTTTCTGTCCCCTTGTCCCAGTGCATGTGTTCCCAGTACTGTGGGCCCCTCCCCTCAATCACTGCACCCTAGACCTCATCTCACTGCTAGAGGTGTAGCTGGGAGGCCCGAATTAACTTTGTTCTCCTTTAAAGTGAAATTGAAGGCCCCTCCTGCCCCCAGTCATGTTTGGGGAATCATGGTGTGATGTTGTGTAGTCTAAGCACTGGGCTGCTCATCACAAGGTTGGCAGTTCAGACCCACCAGTCACTCCTTGAAATCCCTATACAGGGTCACTATAAGTCAGAAATAACTCAGCAACAATCTTGTTTGGAAGCACAGTGACTCCATAAGATAAGCACTGGACTGCTAGCTAGCTACAAGGTCTGTGATTCAAGTGTGCTAGCTGTTTCGCGGGAGAAAGATGAGGCTTTCTGCTCCTGTGTAGATTTTAAAAGCCTCAGAAACCCTATAGGACTCGACAAGCACTTGACAACAATAGCACGGTATCCCCTTCCCCCAGCAACCATGTTTGATGCCGTGGTTGGAATATATGCCCATTACATCATAGTAACTGTATTGCATGTGTAATAATTGTACTAATTTTAAGACCTCAGGGTCGACACATACTACTCTAGGTCTTAGATGTGTTTCCTTGTTTCTTATTGTAACCCCTAAGGTGGTAAGGACAAGTTGAGCTCCCAATGTGCGAATGAATTCTGTACAAATAATGTACCTGTGGTCATGCATGTACACTTAGCGCTCTGAGGGTGAGTGTAGTTGGGGTCTCTGTATTTGCATCTTTTGGTTCCTGGAGTGATGCTCTGTCCGCCTAGATCCTTCACAGTCTACAAGGCCAGGCATCAGTCAGTCCTGTGTGTGTGTTGGGAGGTCTGCTGTAGCCTGAGGTGTATGCTTGTGCTTTTGCTTTCTCCTGGAAGATGTGGCTGTATGAAGAGCTGTTCATTTTTAGGAAGCACTCAGACCAGCATTTTTTCCTTCTTTCCATAGTTTCATTGTACTGACGACCTCAGCTGGCATCATGGACCATGAGGAAGCAAGACGAAAACACACAGGAGGGAAAATCCTGGGATTCTTTTTCTAGGGATGTAATACATTCAAATAAAATGCCTCAATGGACTCTGCTGTTTTCCCCTCCTTCGTTTTCATCTTTCTGTCTGTGTAGGCAGAGCATCTGTGGTCTGTATAACTGATGAATGCAGTTTCCATATCAAGCATCAAACTGAAGTGAAGGAGAAAAGGTCTAACCTGACCATCACCTCCATACCCCCTAGAGGCATGTGTGTTTGGCCCTGAGGGGGGTTGGATCTGGGTGGTGCCAAGCTGTCCCTGTCTAGTTAACCCTTTGCTGTCTACAGCTCTAAAAACTTGGTTGGTAATTGTGGAAGTGTAGTTCGGGTTGGTCTGGTGGTGTATGCTCCGCAGCCATTGCTGGTGAAGTGGATGAAAGTGGCAGCATTGGTTCAGTGCAGCCCCTGCCACCACAGGAAGCTGTGCACTAGTACGTTGGTAATTTGTCATGGAACCTGCTGTTGAAGTGGTACCTGGCTTTGTTGGCTCAAAGGAAGCACTAGGGTGTCAAAGGTGGTTCTGGTTCCTGCTTGGTCATTCCAAACCACTAGTGAAGATAGCCTTCAGCATTTTCATTGTTGGCACGGTCTGTGCTGGCCAACACTCATAGTGAATTTGGGTAACGACAGTAACATTTTGACAGTTTTTGCAAGAGTGTCAGGTTATTGCTTCCTTGGAAACTGCAGCTTAACTGTCAATTTGTCCCAAGGTGAAGTGGAATTCTTATTGAACTTTGTCAAGGGGTGGGAAGGGTTGTATTTGACTGAGGGAGAATGAGAATGTGAAGTGGACTTGAACTTGGGGGAGGACAGTCCCTCTGGAGCACGTCTCCTGGGGAGTGACTGCCACAGAGACACCAAGAAACAACATGGCTGAGGGCAGGGCTTTGGCTCCTTGCGGATAGAAGCATCTTGTTCTGGGGATTGTGAAGGAAGATGGACAGTTTATACTGGTTACTCAGACACTCTTCTGAGCATTCCCTTGTGGAAAGTTCCGGCTGGGGACCTGTACGCTGAAGAGATGCCTTAATGAGCTGGTAGCTGCTGCCATGATGCTGCTGATGGGTCAGGTGGCTGTTAACCTTAGGGTGAAGATGGTTTAGGAGCAGTCAGACACTTAGCCACTGAGCAATAAGTATTAAGTTTCATGTATTAAGTTGCCAAGGTTTGGGTTTCTTACTAACCTATCCTGTCTACTGGTAAACATTGTAGGACTTGCTAGGTTCTGAAAAGGGTAGAAATTGGGCTGCTAATCTCACAGTCAGCAGTTCAGAAATTACCAGCAGTTCCGTGGGAGAAAGATGAGGCTTTCTGCTCCCGTAAAGATTTACAGCCTCAGAAACCCTATGCAGGATTGCTATGAGTCAAAATGACTCCACGACACATAACAAGTACACATTGGGAGACTGGCACTCAGTTCTCAACATGGCAGATTTGTTTGACCTGCCTACCCTCTTAGTTTCTCTAGGGGAATTTGCCTGAGCTCTGTTCCTCAGTTCATTAGAGATCCATCCCCTTCTCTGTGCATCTGCCTAATCTCTGTATCTCAGGAAATTTTAAGACAATTTACTTACACTGATTGTCCTATTAACATTATAAAGTCCTATTCCCAAATGGGATTACATTCATGATTTAGCATTGTTAGGTCATCATTTTTTGGGGACAAACCAAACCATACCATCCTCCATCCTAATTGTTCTTAGTTGGTGCTGTGAGTTAATGTGCTGTAACTACAAGGTCAGCGGTTCAAGCTCACCAACTGCTCATCAGAAACCCTATGGGTTGGAACCAACTCCAAAGCACGTAACAACCACCCTCTTAATACAAACACTTTGTTCCCAAGTGGGCACCTCAGCTAAGTTGATATTTTAGGATCTTTTGAATCTGATGGGAAGTTTGTCACTTAAGCTGAGGAATGTTAGAAGATACTTTGGGGGCAATGAATATCGCGGAAGAAGACCCTGCAGGGAGGAGCAACAGGACCTTGGCCTCCTGTGTGTCTTCTGTGAGCAAGAAACAGCTCCACTGACTGCTTTCAGCCAGAAGCCTCTTGCAAGGAAACTAACACAGTGCTACTTTGTGTCATTGAAGGTAACTGAATCTCTGGCTCAGCCAGTGAATTGGGCTTGGGGCTCTGCAGTTGGGAGCATCTCCATTACAGGTTTCACCACTTTCTGGAAGTTCGCTTTACGGCCATTTATGAAAGAACTACCTTAGTACCTGACTTCACTAACTGAAAGGAGTCTCAAGAGGATGTTGACTTTTAATGAGAAAAGGTGAAAAGTGAAGCTAGCATTCAGCATTTGTTTTGCAACAAACCAGCTGAAGGCAGGGAAGGTAGCACCCCTGTGCCCCACCCTGTCCCCACCCTGTCCCAGCTCCTTCCCCTGGAAATGCACTTGGCATAAGGCTACCAGAACTTTGAATGGAACATGACATGTTTGTATTGTATTATTTTAGGTTTGATGTATTGGTACAATTTGGTAGTTATCTTTTGGGTCTGAATTAATTCAGATGATTTCCCCATATATTATAAATTAGTGATAATGCTTTTTCACCTTATGCCACTGGCTTATGAAAGTTTTTCCAGGTATCAGGGGAAGTTAGCTCTGGCTGATCTCACTGGGTTCTCTGACCCCGCTGGCCTGGAAGCTGAGGTTTCTTGTCATCCTCACTAAGAATCACTCCCGCCACTGTGAGGAGCTGTCCTGTGCATTGTAGCACATTTAGCAGCATCTCTACCCGCTTGAGGCCAGTAACATTCCCCAGTGTGACAACCAACAATTTTCCAGGCATTGCCAAGAATTTTGCCCCAGTTGTTAGCCATTGATCTAGGGGATGGAAGGGACACAGGTGTCCATACCTGGTTTGTGCACTGGACTGAATCACAAGGTCAGCAGTTCAAACCCACCAGCTGCTCAACTGTAAGCAGACCTGTCGTGACAAAACCTGGGGGCCAGAGTGCAGATGGCACCCTGTGCCTTGTGTATGTGTTTAAAAGAAGTCACGCTAGCTAGCAGGCTGTTGAGTAAAGTGTAGTTTATGCTGTTTACCTTTAGGTTGATGCTTACAAAACCTGAGCTTTATAGGACTGAAAGTTGGCAAAATAAAAGATTGAATTTAATGATTCTGCTTATATGGGTGATCTGTTGATGGTCCAGCAATATTTGATGAGCAAATAAGAGTTAATAATTTATAAACTGTTAATATAATAAAAATATACTTAGTATAATTTTTTCTCTTTCATTTCTGTAAAATCACTAAATGTTTTAGTAGTTCTTACATAATTTGTATTTTATTAACAGTAATCTAAAGACAAGAAATAAAATGTAGCTAATTAAAAATATAAACATTTGAATATGTTTTCATAAAACTAAAAATATAGGAATTTTTTATATGGGAAAAACCCTCCAAGTTGTCTTCTAAAATAGTGAAAAGAATTTATAATAACTTAGAGCAAAAGAGGTCAGGATGGCGAGGCTTCATCTCATAATTTGGACATATTATCGGGAAGGATCTGTCCCTGAAGAAGGACACCATGCTTGGTAAAATGGAGGGTCGGCAGAAAATAGGAAGCCCTCCAGTGAGCTGAGTTGGCCCACGGGCAGCAGCAGTGGGCTCAAGAGTGACATTTGTGAGGATTTGCATAAAGTCGAGTCAGAACTGACTCGACACCTAACAACAAGAGCAAGATACAAATGACATAAACAAAAATTTTCAATAAGAAAGTTCATATTTTTAATTTAATGTTTTGAAATGAACCAAAATTTATTAAATCTTATTAAATGACTTTGTAGTTGTGGTAATCTGCTAATGCAAAGAACTGGTATCCACACAACTTGTATCTTGATCACATACTTAAATCAGAGTGATAAATACTTCAATTGCAAAGTGTCCCTCTGTTGCCCCCCATACTGCTCAAATTGTCTCTGTTTTAATTGTAAAATTCAAATAACAATTACCATTTAGAAATGTTCTGTAGTATTGTGCTAACTACCACCATAACAGTTCAAAATATTTTCATCACTCACCTTGCAAAGAACACTGAACATTCATTCTCCCGACCCCCTGAAACACTAATTTCTTTATGAAATTTCCTGTTCTAGATATTTCATATAAAAATCGTATGTGATCTTCTGTATCTAGCTTCTTGCATGTTTTTGAGGCCATTCCATTTTGTAGTATCTGTCTATACGTTGTTTCTTTTTAATACTGTAGGAATGAGGTGGTAATGTGATGGAAAAAATTACTTGGTGCAACTTTCCTGGCCTTTTTCTCAAAAATGTCATTTTCAGATACCTTAAAACTAATAAGCCTCTGTGATCATCATGTGTCCTTTGAGAAAATCTTAGGAATTCTCAAAAAACAGTCACCATAACCTCTGCCTTGAATTGAACTGGCCCAGCAGATCCCCTCATTGTTTGGATTAGACCTTTTTGTAACAATAATGGAGTTCTGGTGTGGTACTGTGGATTAATGTGCTGGACTGCTAAATTGGTTTGAATCACAGGTTGGTGGTTCAGACTCACCAGTTGCTACTTGGAAATCCTATAAAGGTTCGCTATGGGTTGGAACTGACTCGAAGGCAAAAACAACATAGCATTGCATGAGTATACTTTTAAGTTCTTTCCAGTTTTGGCTATTATGAATAAACACTGCCACAAACTTCCATGAACAAGTTTCTGTGGACTTACGTGGGTAAAAGTATTGTTAGAAAATCATATGTGCCTTTATTAAACAAAAATACCAAAATGCGAAGCTGTTGTTTTTTGACATAGCCTCCATCTATGTTTCTGAAGGTGTATCTATCTCTCTAACCCCCTGAAGAATTAAGGGTTTTTAAAAATGTACACCACCTCGAAATGGCAGTTTTGGCACATTTGAGAAACTCAGATTGTCTCCATTTTATTTGAGGAACAAAAAGTCTGAAGATCAGGGCTTGTAGGATGGATGTGGTAAGGTTTCCCAAGGAAATTCTCACCCTGGAAGTTAGTAAGCCCACACATGATGTCGTGATGGAAAACATTCCTTGGTGTTCCTTTCCTGGTCTTTTTCTCAAA